TTATGTCTCAAGTATTTAATTTGTAGAGTCAAGGAGGATAAACATGTCTATGAAATGCTTTGCATTCTTGCAGGGAGGAAACATGGAAATATAGGCATCAGTATTTGAAAACTTACAGTTTTCCCCTGGTTGAGACAGAAGAATGAAAGGGGAAAGTCTTTCAGTGCTGTATTACTTACTAATGGAGCTAGTCTTCTTCCCCAGTTGATTATAATGATTATCTCTACCATGGTATAACCTATGGAGGATAGTTATGATGAGTGTGAATCCTTTTTCCTGTTTGACTCACCTTCCAAAAGGAGATCTTTTTTACAATAATGATGAAAGGTGAATCAGTGAAGGGGGTAAGGGATGTTAAAAAAAAAAAAGACTTTTTATGACATTGTTGAAAGAGGAAGCTAATCTGTATTGTCAGCTCAGGCCACAGCTAGAGCGTCATTTCTTGACAGATGAAACCATTTCTCAGAAAACATACTGTTTGAGGGTGGGAGGTGAAGGGAATCTTCATCAGAAGTTTGCTCAAATTTTATCCAATTTATAAGCTACAATTCTATTGGATATTGTATTTCTTCATTCAATTGGTGGCAAGAATTAAGAACAGATAGGATATGTAGTGTAAATTTCCTTCAGGGGAGCAGTTTGATACATTAAAAATATATAGATACATATTCTTGATAGCTGAGCTTTTGGTGTTATTGGATGTTATTAGACATTGAAAAATAAGATTTCCTGTGAAGCATGGTTTGATTGCTTTTCGTTATCTCATGCAATGTAGTTTGAACGGTCTTCATTTTTCTCCCTTTGCTGGATTTTTTGAAAAATAAGAAAGAGGAAGATAACTATATACTTACTTAATGATGATAAGGTACTGTGGGCTTTGAGTTTTATTATTTAGAGCCAAAGGACTCAATGTGATAATCTCATTTCAGAGGTTTCTGGACAGAATAAACTCTGGGAGAGGAGAAAGCATTTAACTTTCTGGTGTTTTCATTTTTGCTTTTTGTACTAATTCAGAAGTCAGAAGTTTGGTTTGGAATGAACATTTAGTAGATTTTGGGCTGACTGATAGTAACAGGGCAGAGAAAGGGGACATTTGACTCCCAGGGGACCTGTGAGGGGACCTGTGTCCACGGTCACACTTTAAACCATACATGAAGTGATTCTTAATTGGAGAAGAAGCATTGTCTGTTATCTTTGCTAGAGAATATAAATCATAGTCATAATTTTTCATAAAAAGGCTTTGATAGTTTCACTTCCTGAAATGTACTGTATAGTTATTATCTTTGTAGATAATTTGAACGTGATATGTTTTACTTAACACTAGAAACTCTTACTTTTCCTTCAGAATCAGTTAAATAACTTTAAAGTTTTTATTAATCTATTATAGAGCAGACGAATTAAAATAAATTTCTAATAATGTAGGTGAATTTGAGAGTTTTGTTTTTAATTACTCCTGAGGAGAAAATATAGATTCAACCAACATTTGTAGCCAGTTCTAAATAGTTAGTTTTCCCAAGGATTACCTTCTTTTTTTAGTCTTAATCTGCTAGCAAAATTTTTTTAAAAAATTTATTTTTTCCTGAAAAAATTCATGTTCCTTTGCTTTTGTTGACTATATAAGTAAATGTTATAGGGAAGCAGAGGCCAGACTCTGCAGAACTCTGGATGTCTTTCAGGTAGCACCCTGTTCCCCTTTGGTCAGACCACTGGGCTCCAGGAAATATATCTGTTGTTTTACCATTGTATAATTCGGTATTTTCAATGTATTAAAGTGACAGATGATGTAGATTTTAAAGGTAGGGAAAACAACTGAATTCTAGTTCAAGGTCCTGAGGGCAATGTGTCAAACACTCTTAAAAACAAACTGCCGAAGGTCTTTCTCTGGGCTTGATTTTTCCATAACTCTGGATGGCAACCTGCAAGATAACTCAATTCCCAGGTTCCTGCAGAGGAACCTTCCCAATTTTTATGGATTCTTGTTTCTTTGGCCAAATTGCTTTTTTCACTTGTGCAAGAGATATGATTAACCTTTGGGGTTTGTGTTCTTTCTGTGATTACAATATGAGGAAACACATCCCTTTGGTATTATATTCTAGTGAAACTAGAATTTTATGGGTAGTAAAAGCATACATTCTCCTGATAAATCAGTGTTTTCTAGGAGATATATGGTCTTTGTTTTGCTAATTGGATAGCTGACCTTTTTACCATCTCACATAATTTAACAGTTAAAAGGTGATTAAACTGTTAAAAAAAAAAGTGACTTTAAAAAAAAAAAGTGCTTGCTGACATCATCTTTCCGAGAACACTAGTATAAGTGATTTACTATAACAAGATCTTAGTTTTTCCTGTTGGCAAATGACATGTAATATTTACAGAGGTCTTGAGTTCAGGCCAGCACATACATCTCAGATAAATTGATGTGTGAAACTGTAGCCATTTAGCATTTTCTTTCATACAGAGATAATGTAAACAGTTTTTTGTTTTAGTTTAAAAGTGGAGAGAGAAAGGATATTTAGTGTAAATTTCCTTCGGGGAGCAGTTTGATTGAATGTATCCTCCAAAATTAAACATCAAACATGTTTGGTTTAAAATTCAGTTACATTCTTCAGATGGTTGCATATTTAGGATACTAAGCCAGTGTTAACTCTGTTATGATGCACATACCTTCTCTTCCTGAGAAAACTCCTCCTTTGCCACCAAAATGATATAAGGTCAAGTTTTGTAGTCTACATATTTAAATCAGCATAAATTCTAAATCTATGAGACTTTTACTTTTTTCCCCCTAAAGCATGGTTTTTAATAGCTCCATCAAGGTGTAATACATCTTTCATATATACTGTAATTTGCCTTCTGTTGGACATATTGGAGATTTGTGTTATTTCCTCTTGTGTCTGTTACTGTTAATCCCTGTGCTATGTCTGGCTGTATGTGTTGGTTTCATTCACAAAAATGGAAACCTTGGATTTTAAAGGATTTACACCTGTTATTCTAAACCAGGCATATGAAAATTCTCTTATAGTTTCATCTAGTGCTTGCTAAGGGGCTAGACATGGCCTCGGCAGCACTGGGCATTATTTAAAAAAAAAAATCTGCCAAAAATTTTTTAATTAAAAAAAGTTTTCATTTTAATTTGCATTTCTTTGATTAATAGTGAGATTAAACAAATGTTTTTCACATTTGTAAGTCCTTTGTGTATTCTCTTTGTTCACTTTTTAAAATGGGGTTCCCTGCCATTTCTTACTGATTTGTAGGTACTCTTCATATCTTAGTGCTTTGGTTGTATATGCTGCAAATATGTTTTAATTTTGAGGCTTCTCTTTTTTAAATTGATATATATTGGACATATATTAGTTTCAGGTGTGCAATAGTAGTGACTCAACATTTATATACATTCTGAAATGCTCACCACAATAAGTGTAATTAGGTCTGTCACCATAGAAAGTTACTACAATGTTATTGACTATATTCCCTGTGCTGTACTTTTCATCCAGGGGCTGGCTGACTTAAAACTCTTGTAACTCTTAATTCCCTTCACCTATTTTCCTCACCTCCCCACCTTCCTCCTCTCTGACAACCACTGGTTTTGTTTTTTTTTTTTTTGTTTTTTTTTTTAAATTTTTTTTTTTTGATTTTTTATTTATTTATGATAGTCACAGAGAGAGAGAGAGGCAGAGACACAGGCAGAGGGAGAAGCAGGCTCCATGCACCGGAAGCCCGATGTGGGATTCGATCCCGGGTCTCCAGGATCGTGCCCTGGGCCAGAGGCAGGCGCCAAACCGCTGCGCCACCCAGGGATCCCCCAACCACTGGTTTTGTTCTCTGTTTATGAGTTTGTTTCAGTTTCTTGTTTGTTTTGTTTTTTTAGATTCCATGTATAAGTGAAGTCATATGGTCTTTTTTTTTTTTTCTTAACCTGTTTATTTTAATTGGTATAATACCCTCCAGGTCATCCATGTTGTTGCAGATGGTGACATTTTTACTTTTAAAAGGTAGAAATATAATTAATTTATAAAAAAAAAAAAAAAAAAAAAAAGGTAGAAATATGGGGTACCTCGATGGCTCAGTCATTAAGTGTCTGCTCTCTGCCTTTGGCTCAGGTTATGATCCCAGAGGTCCCTGGATCAAGCCCCACATTGGGCTCTCTGCTCAGTAAGGAGTCTGCTTCTCTCTCTCCCTCTCCCTCTGCCCCAACCCCAGCCTCCACTGTCTTAAATAAATAAATAAAATCTTTTAAAAAAATTAAAAGGTAGAAATATATCTAAAATAGACATTTGTCTATTGTGTTATAATACAATCTAAGTAATAGAAGCATCTTTAGTTGTCTTATAAAGAATTAGAATATTCCAGGGCATGGCTGTTTGAATCAGTAGAGCATACAACTCTTAATCTTGAGTTTGTGAGTTCAAGCCCCATGTTAGGCATGGAGCCTAGTTAAAAATAAAGAAAAAGAATTACAATATTCCATCTGCATTTAAATATTTTTAAATCTTAATTTAAATATAGTTAAGTACTCAAAATTACTTAAATATAGTTGAATGCAGATTGGTTGAGGAATGAAGAAAATGAACTGTAGTTACCATGGGAATCTAGTCTCATCTATTTGAGGCCAGTTTTTTTTTTTTTTTTTTTTTTTTTTGTAGATAGACTTATCAGTTCTTAGGCACCAAGACTCTAAATGATCTTTTTACTTTTAGGAAGATAGGTGCTTTATTCCTTTTACTATGTTTTACTCTTTGGTCAGTTTTTCTAGTTATAGTAGCTATCGTATTACAAACAAAAGCATTTCTAATACCACAGTAACAAACAAAAAGATTTCATTTTTATACTTACTTCAAAAAGAAAAAGAATAATTTAGGATTTGACTCAACTCTCTAATGGTGCTAATTTATTTTTCTTTGTTTTGTTCTATCATTCTATAAATACCTAGAACATTAATATTAAAGTAAAAAAGAAATGGGAATTTTTAAATGACAATTATGGTTTATCATTCTCTGTTTCAGATGATCACAGTCGTGTTAAACTGCAAAATGCTGAAAATGATTATATTAATGCCAGTTTAGTTGACATAGAAGAGGCGCAGAGGAGTTACATCTTAACACAGGCAAGTGATGTGATGTGAAACAAATGCCTTGACAGTGCGATTATTATGGTTGGTCTGCTTTGAAACATAGTTAAAGTATGTCTTTACTTCTTTTGGAAATGAAATGCTATTTCAGTTTTTTCTGTTGTTACATGGTAAAATGTAGACCTTTTGATGTTTTATATGGTTTTGCAGGTTTGTATGTGAACATGAAATTAAAGTTATTTTTAAAAAGGAAAAATTTTTAATGAATGTCATAGGCCACTTCTTTTAAGGCAAATTATCTTCTTGCTTTATATTGATACAAGGCATTTGTTAATGCTTTGTTAAGTTCTCTTCACATAATCTGTATCATAATCAGAGGCTCTTTGAAAGCACTTCTCTGGCATATATTTTCAGAGAGTATGAACATCCCTTTGATGGTGGTGTCTGACATTTGTTCAGAACAAGGGTGGTAAGACCAGGTGCCCAGAATACTGTCTGGGAGACCATCAAGTGTGATGGTTCCTTGTGAAATTCTGCTTGCATGGTACACTGGCTATACACATAGTTGAGCACTACTGTTCTTTTGTTTTTTGATAATAGAAATTATTTTGGTTTGTCCACACCAGCTACCCTTTATCAAATCAGAGACTTAGTGAACAGTGCTTTTATATCCCCTGGTGAATGATTTTTAAATTCAAAATATAAGTTGTAGGGCACTTGGGTGGCCAGTGGTTGAGCGTCTGCCTTCGGCTCAGGGCATGATACCAGGGTCCTGGGATGGAGTTCTACATCGGACTCCCTGCAGGGAGCCTGCTTCTCCCTCTGCCTATGTCTTTGCCTCTCTCTCTGTGTCTCTCATGAATAAATAAATAAAATCTGCAAAAAATAAAGGTAGATAGTATACCTATGAAAAGATACTCAATTTTTCTAGTCCCTAGAAATATAAATTTAAACCAGTGATCAATTACAGCTTTTCACCAGTCAAAATAGTGGAGAATTAAATATTTATAAAACTTAGTGGTTAAATGTGTACAGATATAATGATATATGAGAGTGTTTATTGCAACTTAATTTTAATAGTACAAGGCCAGAAATAATAGTATAGAAATAATCTGTGAGGGACTGGCTAAATAAATTCTACATATACCATTAATATTGGTTATTTTAAGAATTAGGAATAAGTAGACTTTAATTTGCCATTTTCTGCCTTTTTTGTAATATTTGGAGGTTTTCTTACAAACATTCATGACATTTTTAATAAATTCATTTATAGAATTTCAATTTACTTTGTACCTGAAAAAACTATAATGTTCAAGAATAGAAAAGAATAATTACTCTAAGTCACTTACCATACTTCTTTCTTCTTTTTCTCTCCTTTTTTCCCAGTCTTGTTTATTGGTTCTTCTTTCTCATTGTAGTCCCAAATTTTGTAGGTGATTTTCAGGATTCTGATTTAGGAATTTTTTCCCCCTTTTTCATTCTACACTTGAGACTTCAGCTCTCTGGCACCGTATGTTCAACCCTAATATCTTAAGGAAATATAGATGTTGGATTCACAGTATCTATGCCCAAATTCCAGTCCAACTACTTTATTGGATGTTCATTCATCTGACGAAGATTTATTGACTACCTACTGTCTGGTAGGCATTGTTTAAATAAAACAGTGGAGCATCTGGGTAGCTCAGTCAGTTAAGTATTCAAATCTTGATTTCAGCTCAGGTCATGATCTCAGGGTTGTGAGATCGAGCTCCAAGTCAGACTCCATACTAGGCATGGAATCTGCTAGGGATTCTCTCTCCCTCTCCAGCTGCCCCTCCTTCCCTTAAATTTTAAAAAAAATTAGACATTAAATAAACACTGTTGTTATGAACTTCACATTGTAGTGGGAAATAAAATTAATAACAGCAATTTTGTAACATTCTATACTTTATATGTTTTGTATAATTTAAGGCTCAGCATAACTCTCTTATAAACGTTGTTATCACCCTGGTTTTATGCATGAGGAATTATCTAAAGAGACCAGGAACATTAAATGACTTTACCAAATCCATTTAAGTGAGTTGAAGCCAGAATTTGAAGCCCCATTGGCTCCATTGGTCATGCCCTAATCATTCAGCTCTGCTACCATAAAACTGCTGTGTGATCTTGGGCAAGCTACCTAACTCCCCAAGTCTATATATACATATCTATGTCTCTATTATAGATGTATACCTATATTATCTGTGAAACAGTGTTGAGTGAAACTCTTATAGTGCCTGGTACTGTGGTAAGCCCTCCATAGATTATTGGTTGTGGCATTTGTTACTGCTTTGTAGTAGTAGTAGTAATAGTAGTAATAATAATCCTCTTATAAAATATTGTAAATCCCGTCATAACAGAAAATACTTACTAATTGTGTTTAAGCATCCTGTCCCTGTTGGGCTGCTCTGTGTGTCCTGATAGAGCCGTATGTATTTAGACCTGGGGGACCCAGAAGGCTGTTTTCAGCTTTTTATTCTTTCCCTATATTTTCCAGGTCCTCACTGGATATTTTTACGCAGATGACTTGTTTACTCACAAATTCTGCATTTTCTACATCTTACTCTCTTTTTCCTTCTTTCTTCTTCTTTTTTTTTTTTTAAACCAAGCCAGCTTGGAATGGACCCTGACTTGATCCCTGTCCTTCCATGATGCTTCCCTATATCAGTGCCGTCCTCATTTTTAAGGCTCCGCTATAGCAGGAAGATCTGATGGCTTACCCTTTACTCTTGTGGCACTTCATATGTTTTAGTTAGTAGGACTTGTAGCACTTAATATGTTTCAGTTAGTAGGACAAGGACTTCTTGCTTCTTAGCAAGCTCTTTGAAGGCCAAGAACATTCTACTAGAGAAAACTAGAGATGCTGAATGTTTATTATAACCTTAGCTGTTCTGATTGTCTTTTGTTACTTATTTTTGTCATATTTTTCCTCTGAATTAAAAAAAATGTATCAGTCCTTGGTATAAATCTCCATTTCGTAGAAAAAAAATTGATAGTATTGCTTGTAGGTGGAAGAGTTGAGAGAGACCCCACCCCCACCCCAGAACCACTGATAGAATGTGTTTTGTGTTTCCAGTATATATACACACTAAGAAGTGACTTCTCTGGTGAATCGTTAGATCCATTTGTTTTTAGACGAAAGAAAAAGCATTCATTTTACAGGAGATTTTCTCATTGCCCTGTTTTACATTTACACTTTGTTTTGTTTTAAAGTAGATCACATAATAGATATATAGAGTGAGGAGAACAGTATCTTCAAACATTTGGTTGTCATTTCTCAGGATTCTGAGTAGATTTCTAGCCTTTTTATAACTTTCTAAGTTATTCAAATAATATTAACGGAGCATCTGCTACACACCAGGGAATACAACTGTCCAAAAGATGCTTTCAGCCTCAAACCATGTGAATCACCGTGTTTGACATTGAAAGCTAAAGTTGGGGATCCCTGGGTGGCGCAGCGGTTTAGTGCCTGCTTTTGGCCCCAGGGAGCGATCCTGGAGACCCGGGATCGAATCCCACGTTCGGCTCCCGGTGCATGGAGCGAAGGCAGCCCTAAACCGCTGAGCCACCCGGGCTGCCCTCAAGTGGATGTAAAGTCATGATTTACTTACTAGGATTTGATACATTGTTCCTAAACTAGAGCATACTTGAAGGAATTTTCCTTGAGCTTTGTTGAATCTCCTTTGTCTTATCTACTTTTTCTTCTCTGTTCTTACAGGGTCCACTTCCTAATACAGGTTGCCATTTCTGGCTCATGGTTTGGCAGCAAAAAACCAAAGCAGTTGTCATGCTAAACCGAATTGTGGAGAAGGAATCGGTGAGTAACACTTAATATTTACAACTTAGTGTACTGCCTGTATCTTTCACTTGTAAATGTTTTCACATTTCTTTTGGGATACTCATTTTTTCTTAAAAGTAGTAGTATATCATTTTCCTTCTTGCCTTAACTATTTAAATAATAGTTGTATACCACTACCCTTCCAAGATGTAAATATAATGAAACAAATATTGACCAATAGTGACATAGATCTTTGGAATCCTTAGGCTTTATTAGAATTTTTATAATTTATTATTATCAAAATCTCAAAGAGTTTGTAAAAGATTAAAGTGACTGGTTTTTGTTAACCTATATGAAGTTTTATTGGCTCTTAGTCATAAGACAGTAAGTATGGAAATGTATGAGTTTATTGAAACCTGAAGTACAATTTAAACTCAGTGCTAATTAGTTAAGTCTTAACTTTTGTAGCTTTAGATTCTTTTACTGTCAGTGAAGCAAATTGGAAAGTATTGTCAGCCTAAGATCTTCTTCAGATTCCTGATTCTTACTTTTTCTAAATTCACAGTTGGTGGCTTTCAATGGTGGTGCAAGTTATTCTACTCTGTTTCTAATCTGAAGTGGCACCCACATACCAGGATGTCTAGCAGTGTTAGCATAGTTATTTACAGTGGCTTTTTTATGGCTTCCAATATGACTTAAAAATTAAGTGATGATATTTGAACAGTTTGAGCAGTATTGCAAACTAGATGATTTAGAAGATTCATCTCTCTTTCTGGAGTATAATTACTATATTAATACGATAAGACTGCCACTGGAAATTAGAAATCATATTTATGGTGGGTTGGCTCTAGATGCTTAATAAGATTCAGATTTAATTATTTTCAGAAAGCTACTACATGGGTGATATTGCTTTGTTTATGAAGAGGCCCATAATGTCTGATTATCTTTCTTTTTATGGTGTTAGCAGCCTTTGCTGGTCTTAGTTCTTCAATTAGTTAAGGGTTACAAAATAGTGGTATTCCAATTTTATCATTCCTTCTTAAATTTTTGTTGGAATACTTCTATAGAAAGAAACTTTGAGCACCTGGAGGCACAGTTGGTTAAGCATCTGACTCTTGTTTGGGCTCATGCACTGTGATCTCAGGGTCGTGAGATCTAGCCCCACGTTGAGCTCCACGCTCAGTCTCTTTCTCTCTCCTTCTCCCTTCTGTCCTTCCCCACCCCATGAGGGTGTATGCACATACTTTCTCTCTTTCTCTCTCAAATAAATCTTAAAAAAAAAAAAGAAAAGAAACTTCCCTTCTAGTTAGTTGGCCACTTTTATATAGAAAAAGCAATTTTCAAAATAAGTTGATTCCATAGTGTCCTCAACAGGTGACCAATTAGATTTTTTTTTTGGGGGGGGGTGTGAGTCAGGGGAAGGGGGAGATGAATTATTATGAACTCATAGATATTTATTATTTATTTTTTTAAAGAATTGATTGATTTGACAGAGCACACAAGTAGGGGAAGCAGGAGAGGGAGAAGCAGGCTCCCCACTGAGCAGGGAGCCTGATGTGGGGCTCGATCCCTGGACTCTTGGGTCATGACCTGAGCCGAAGGCAGATGCTTAACCTACTGAGCCACCAAGTGCCCTGAACTCATAGGTTTAAACATATTTGATGCACTGCACTTCAGTGCAGTTATTATCCATCTTAGTAGTTCAATTACTTCTCTGTTGCCTAGCAGGAATCTCTTCAAGTTGGGCTCTGAGTCAGAAACCTAAGAGACAAAACCAAAGAGTCTTTAATAATTTTCTTACTCTCTGAAATGACTAATTGTTGCAGGCTCATCTTAATCTCTTCATAGAATCAGACATTTCTCTAAGGAGCCTTAGTGTTCTTACAATGGGCAGTGGTATTTCACAATGACAATAAAAATAGTGATGTTTACTGCTGCTGGGTTGATCATTATTTTTAGAGCTTTTTGGTGAACAGAGCGAAAGAAAAAATGGTGTGTTACTTAACATATTTCAAGGGCTCATACTGATACTTCCGATTCAAATTTAGGACTGCTTAACCCTTTCTACCTTCTATCTTTTGCCTCCTTTTTCCATATCATGAATCCTGCTTCTCAAAGATGCTACGGATAAAGAATATCTTATAATGACTCATTTACTTTGTCCCATATTACACACAAATAATACTCATAATAAGAGTATGAACTCACCAAAACAATTACTGAAAAAGTTTTAAGTTTAGTTTTTCTCATCTCTTTCTGTTTTTATGTTGTATTTTACCTGCATTGTCAGAGTATATAAAATACTATATAATCTCTCTCTTATATCCCTTTAAAAAATCTTAGTTCTACATGTAAGCATATATTTAATTTTCCTTGCTAGTCTTGTTGATGTCTCTCCAGTTGTTCTGTATAAGCTCATTCTGTAGTGGATCCTAAGAAAGGACTCATGGGTCTTACAGTTCCTGATTTCCTACCTGTCGATGAAAGTTTAATCTGCTCTCTTAATGCTTAAAAATCATTTTGGCAGGATATAAAATCTTGGCTCACATTTGCTTTTCTTTGAGCAACTTAAATACATTACTCCATTTCCTTCTGGCATTAGAGATTACTGACAAAGTCCATTGGACATCTGATTTTATTTCCTTTAGAAGTCATATGTTCTTTTTATTTAGGTTACCCAAAGGCTTTTTTTTTTCTTCAAATCCTACTAATTTTACCAAAATATATCTTAGTGTTGGTTATTCTGGGTCAGTTTTTCCAGGTGTGTAGTATGCTTTCAGTTGTGATTTTTTAAAGAAAAAACATATTGATTATACTTGTTAGTGGTTACTGTTTGCTTGCTTTGGTGTTCCTCTTTGGGTCCCTATTATACGTGTTAGATTTTCTTTGCTTATTTCTTTTAAGTTCTGTCTGTCTCTCTACTTCTCTTTTTTTATTAAAAATGTTTCTTTTCCTCTTCTTTCTTTCCTGAGACATTATCTGCTGCATTATTCAGTCTCTTTTCCTCTCAGTTTAGTCTTCATTTCTGAATGACGTATTCTTTGATTCCTAATTTTTTTTCTGTCTCATATCACCTCCTTTCTGAGTTGTTCTCATTCTCATTTATGCTCTTTCACGTCTTGTATCATATTTAAAATGTCTTTTAGCACATTTGGAAATATCAGCTCATAGTAATTATTTGTTGGAGATATTGTTGCTGTTTGTGATTTGGAAAAAGAAGAAATGACCGTATTTTATAAGGATATTTTTGTGGTGTTTTTTTTTTCCTAATGAAGTGGCTCTTTATCTTACCTTAACATAGTTCACTGGCCTCATAATTTGGCTTTTGGGAAGATGCTTTTATTGTCACAAATAGAAATTCCATATCAGTTCTGCCAAAATGTACCAAATCTAGTTAAAGAGGGCTTTTCTTCTTTCTCCTCTTTTTTTAAAAAAGATGTTATTTATTTATTTATTTATTTATTAAGGAGAGAAGGGCAGAGGGAAAAAGATAAAGAGACAAGCAGGCTGATTGGGGAGCCTGATTCTGGTCTCGATCCCAGGACCCTGAGATCATGACCTGAGCTGAAGACAGATGCTTAACTGACTGAGCCACCCAGGTGCCCCAAAGGGGGCTTTATTCACTTCCCTGACTTAATTTTAGTAAGTGAATATAAAATGTTTTTTCTGGATAAGTAATATTTGGTAGCAGATTCATAGTATTTGTAGAAAATACTTGTAAAATAAAGCCTTTCAGTACTGTTTGAAGAAAAGATTCTTACAAGAGTTAGACAGTTTTAGAAATATAAAGTGAATACCAGTATGATGTTGAGGTACAGGTTATCATGCTTCAGAAATGACAAATTTACTTTTATGGACATATCTCTTTGTGGTTTTTCTATTTTTTTATTTTTTTATTTTATTTTTTAAAGATTTTTATTAGTCATGAGAGAGAGAGAGATTGGCAGAGACACAGGCAGAGGGAGAAGCAGGCTCCGTGCATGGAACCTGATGTGGGACTCGATCCCGGGACTCCAGGATCACGCCCTGGGCTGAAGGCAGGTGCCAAACTACTGAGCCACCCAGGGATCTTCCAGTTTATGGCTTTTTTAGTATAAATAATAGGAACATTTTATAAACCTGCCTTGATAAATGTCAATCTTATTAAAATACATTAAGTAAAAAAATACATTAAGCATCAAATATAGTGTAATTGTTCATAGATTTATAATGCGTGTGTGTGTGACTTCCTTTCCTAGCTTTTTAGGGTTTCATAATGTCTATGAACTAATATATATATATATATATATATTCTTAAATTTAGGTTAAATGTGCACAGTACTGGCCAACAAAAGACGATCCAGAGATGCTGTTTAAAGAAACAGGATTCAGTGTGAAGTTCTTGTCAGAAGATGTGAAGTCATATTATACAGTACATCTACTGCAGTTAGAAAATATCAATGTAAGACCTTTCATGCCTAAAAGATTGGACTTTATATACTGATTTTCAGAATTATTTTTTGCCATTATATTTGAAGTTTGGGGTTGCATACACATTTCATAGTATCTATAATAGTATATAATCATAACCATTGTGTTTACACTGTGTTTCTTATATGTAGTAGCTAGCTCTCTGAAGACTCTTGAGAAAACTTAGAAACTAAGGATTTTAAAGTTCAGGTTGATATATAAGGATTGAAGATAATTTATTAAAATTAGTTGGGGATTAAGGGAGAGAACTTTACAAGCAGGTCAACCTGGATTCAAATCCCAGCTCTCCTGTTAAGTAGAAAAGTCCTTGGGACTTGTTCCTCAGCATCCCTCATTATTTCCTCATCTGTAAAGCAGAGATTGTAATACTGTTGTGGAGATCAAATGAAGATATGTATGCAAAGCACCTGATGTAGTTACGAGTACCTGATTGTACTTAAGAGAGTGCCAGGCTGTTCAAGGAAATAACTTGTTAATTCAGATGATTCACCGCAGAGAAATTTGTCCTTACTGAATTGGGGGAAATGGTGAAATTAATGTAGCATATGGTCTCAAGAATACTTACTTGGGTCTTTCCAGAAATATAAGAATTGTTCCTTATTTCTTTGTTGAGATACATGTACATGGTGGATTGTGAACCTGCTCTTGTCGAGTTGGGGATGAAGACCTTTCTTTCCCTTCCAGCACCTCCCTGTTTTGTCTTGTGTTGTAATCAGGATAACTGGAAAATGTCAAATGACAGTGATTCCGGGTTGCTCTTAGGAAATAAGAAAATGTTTGTCAAAAAATGATTTCAGCAATGTATCTGGTCTGTACAATGAGATACTTTTAGTTAACCATTAACTGAATTAAATGATTAACATGGACTCATTGACCAACAAGTTTTATAGAGAAGGGATATATAAAGTGTGTACACACACACACACACACACACGCACTTTTAGCTATGTAGAAGTACATTTTATGGTTGATCTCTTGGAATGCTTCTGTTGTTGCTGTCTACTCTTCAGTACAGGTGCATATATGCACACAGGGGGCCCAGGCCCAGCTTCTCATCATATCCATAACTAAGCTTTTTATGTGATCCCTTGGGTTATCTAAGAAGTCTCTCGGTTGGGTATTACAAGACTTCAGATTTATTTATAAGTTTCCCTTACTGTAGTTATTTTGCACCAACTATTCCATTTCCTTATGTCTTTTTTTTTTTTTTAAGATTTTATTTATTCACAAGAGACACACAGAGGCAGAGATATAGGCAGAGACAGAAGCAGGCTCTCTGTAGGGAGCCCGATGTGGGACTCGATCCCAGGACCAGGTCATGCCCTTAGCCCAAGGCAGATGCTCAACCACTGAGCCACTCAGGTGTCCCACATTTCCATATCTCTTAAGCTGCCCTGAGATACATCAACAACTTTGATTTTTGTTTAAGATTTTATTTATTCATGAGAGGAAGAGAGACAGAGACATAGGCTAAGGGAGAAGCAGAGAAGCAGGGTCCTCTCAGGGAGCCCAGTGTGGGACTAGATCCTGGATCCTGGGATCATACCCTGAGCCAAAGGCAGACACTCAACCGCTGAGCCACCCAGGTGTCCCTACATCAACAACTTTGTGATACTAGATTGTGCAGTACTTATTCCCAGAAACAGAACTGCTTTCCTTTAAACTTCTCATAGTTCTTCAAATCATCTTCTCATGGTATTTATCCCAGGTACCTCATCTGCTTCTGGCATTAAGACTGATTTGGATGGAGAAGGGCATAGATGTTTTTCCCTGTTTCTGAAACCTATCCTAATTAAGAGTGGATTGTACCTTAATAATAAAATGAAATGACTTTTATATTTTACCATTTTGTAAAGCGCTTTTATATATATGCATCATTTGACCCACAGCCTTCCTCTAATTTGATAAATATTCTTAATATTTCTGTATTTCCTGTATTTTTTTAAACCTAAAATCCACTAGATTATAAATTTTTTTCCTGTAAATAGATTACTCAGCTAATAAGTGACAGGCTGGAACTCAAATCCAGATCTCCTGACTTCTAATGACATGCAGCTAAGTCTTTTGAAAAAAGTGTTAATTGTCCTAGTAAAGGAAGAGTCTGGTTCTGAAGGATCTTTCTGAATTTGAGGCCAGCATGTGAACTGGCCAACCACTGTTTTAGTTGCTAGCAACTCTGTGATTTCTTATTGGCCTGGGTTCAGAGTCCACTATAATTAATAGCAACAATATGTTTACATTCTACCTTACAATCTTTAGTAAGAACTAGGAATATTAGAAGAACAAAGTAGCTTTTCGGTATGAAAAGCAGAATTGCATTTGGCTAGACTACCTGAATTTATTTTATTTTTTTCAAAGATTTTATTTATTTGCAAGAAACACAGAGGGAGAGAGAGGCAGAGACACAGGCAGAGGAAGAAGCAGGCTCCACGCAGGGAGCCTGACGAGGGACGCAATCCTGGGTCTCCAGGGTCACAACCTGGGCTGAAGGTGGCGCTAAACCGCTGGGCCACTGAATTTAAATCCCAACTCTACTCCTTCCGGCTGTGTGATTGGTCCCACCTATTTACCCTCTATGCCTCAGTTTCTCATCTACAGAATGAGGATATGGAAACATGTACCTGAGAGGGGTGCTGTAAGGATTAAGTGAATTAGTGCTGTAACGGGCCTAAGACTCTGCAGAATTCACAATTACTAGCTTTAGTTGTGCATCTGTTTCCTTTGTAATGTAAATGAATTGGGAAGGACTGTAGGAGCAGGGGCAGTTGAAAAGAACAAATTAAGGAGTAAGAAAGGTGATGCTGCAGGAGGGGAGTGGTCATGAACCTCACCCTGAGCTGTGAAAACCAGTTTGCTGCTAAAGGAGTCTGACACGTGTGTATTAACAGGTCTGGGGCCAAAGCTGTGATCTGTGTGGGCTCTGCACACCAGCAGCCCTTTCCAGTGTCTTCATTAGAGCTAAGAGTTTGAACTTTTGCCCCTGAATGAGGAGATTCCATCTCTGCTTTTAAAGTGGCCCCATGGCTTAAGCTACTGAGAAGGTTTTGCAGGGCTTTTAAAATATAAGGTCATCTGGAGTGCTTATTTGTCTTTCAGGATTTTCTTTTTAGTTGCCCTTCACTGTTTTCCATAATATTGTTGGCCAGCTTTATGTTTATCAAGTTCCAGGAATGGTATTGTAATGCTGGCTGCCTTCTCTGTTCCTGTGGATTTGCCGGAAACCGGATGAGTGCCTAATTATTATCATGCTCATCTGGGATTTGATACAAAATAGTTTAAACAGTTAATTCCACCTGGAATGTCCTCTTCTCCTCTCTGCCTATTTATATCCTGCACATCCTTCAGGACCACCTTGTGGCCCGTTTCTTACTTAGATCTTTCTTAATTCATCTATGACTCACTCATTCTTAATAGCTATGATCTTACACTTCTCTCTGTAATTTAAAATTTTACCATTTTTCTGGCTTGTTCAGTACTTGTATACGTATGTACTTTGACTCTGTAACAAGGTTTTCAGCTCCCCGTGGGTAGAGCCCTTACCTGTTGCCTTTGTGTTTCCCTCCACCATTGCACCAAGTGAGTGATTATTCTAAAACATAGGCATGACCCTTCTACCTTGCTCTAAAAAAATCCTCCCATGGCCAGTGCAGAAGAAATCCAGGATCAGCCCAGACTGGTCCTTCCTCCTTGTTTATCTCCACAGGCACTCAGGGTTTCTTCTTGCTAACAGTCCTACACTTCTCAAATAGCTTGTTCCTTGGGGGCCCACATCTCTGTGTATTGCTTTTCTCTCTGCTTAGAATGCAGTCCCCATGCCTACCTGCTTCTGTCACTCCCCCATCCTCCTGATGGTGAGTTCTGTTCACCTTTCAAAATGAAATTACAGTAACTAAATATTTAATACAGACCATATAATGATCCTGGCAGAAGTTGATGAGAGATTGAACTAAGGCACTTACAGTGAGCTACAGATCTGATATAAATCTGTATTTAGGAGCTAGGGTTCACAAACTTTGCTACTCCTTGATGTATAGGAAATATTAAGCGAGGCAATTGAAAATGTGGAGAGGTTTACAATTGAGTGGAGCTTACTAGGGGCTACAATAGAGACAATTAGTATGGTTGTTTCAGAAAGTTATCTGTTAAGCCTTTACCATATGCAGGCCTAGATTAGGTACTTTACATTCAGTCTTTCATTTATCCCTCACAATAGCCTTATAAGGTAAGTACTGCTTTTAACCATTTACAGATGACCAAAATGGGCTTATGACAGTCTTTTGGAAACATAATCTTAGTACTTCTGTAAATGTCCAAAGTGTGTTAATAATTGGGCCCAGGACCAAAGAGCTGCACAGATTTTTTTATATTAATTAGAAGACTTATTATCTTGTCTATCTATATAAAATAATAGTTAACTTGAATGTGAATGGCTTTAGATGGCATACACTTAAATTGCCATAAACCTGGCTATTGGCCGTTGTCTTATTGTACCTACTGAGTTCCTAGATTGTCTTCCTGGCCTCCGTATACAATGAATTAGATAACCTTACTCAAGGATAGAATTCTCCTTCAAGAAAAGTAGATAAGATTTTGCCTTAAAAAGAACAACGAACCACTGACATTTTGTGCAGTGTGTGGTATACATAATGCAGTGTTTTACAAAGAAGATTTGGCAAACACATGCAGATGGAGATGGGGATGCATCCAGATGGCCATGTAATTGTGGATGCAACCAGGTGTTGCACACACGGGGTGTGAGGTCAGCAGTAGAAGGGGATGGAAGAGGCTAACTGGGCATCACAGGAGGATTGATGTGACTTGATGACCTGGGAAAAAGAAAGGGGGCTTCCACCAGTTTTGAAATAAGGAATTTGTCAAAAATTGTAAAGTCTACATATATAGCTTGTTTGGAATAAAGATGAATTTTGTTTTAGCCCTCTAGCCTTTGGCAGTCCTTCCACTCCCCCCTTTTTTTCCAGCAGGAAAAAGAGGGAGAAGAGGTCCAATCAAGCGTATAAACATTTCTTTTCTATCTTAGTAGTAAAACATATGGATCTTATTGCTTCATGAAGAGGTGGTCCGTTGGCAATTGTATGACTTTTGTGGGCCATGATTTTGAATCTTGTTTCTGTAGGGACACATTAATAAAAATTAATTTCTTAAGAAGTTCTTTAATCTGGTCTTTAATCTGGTCCTGATAGGGAAAGAAAAACACTGATTCTCAAAAATCTATTAGTGGGGAAGACTGCATTATAGAAACAGTTGTGAACATTTCTGGGAATTGGCTTTGAGTATCCCAGACAGCGTGACCTGAATTTGAAAAAAATCAAGAGACTGCTAGTCTTGAACCAGAATTATACAAGTGCAAAAAAAAAACAAAAAAAAAAAAACAAGTTGTTCAGGATTGTGGGTTAACTCTAAGTTTTAAGCCAGGAGGTGATGCAGTAAGTGAGCATAAGTGAGTATACAACCATATGGGAAGACTGGGCCATACCCTGTAGAGGTGAGCAGGTGAGCAGGGTTCTATCCCCCTTCCCTAAGCGCCCCCCTACCCCCCAGACCTGGGAGCTCCACATGGGATCTGGTTTTATTCATGATGAAGTCTAGCCCTGCTATGGGAGGTCAGTGCTTCATGGTTGCAGATGACCACAGCACAGCCATTGTCAGGAGGAAAATGAGGATAAATACTCCCATTGGAGTCTTAGACCCTATTTAAAGGAGGATATGACTGAGTTCTCCATACCCCTGGGCTACGTAAGGAACGACCACTGTAGCCCATTTCTCTGCTGTTACTGTGTTATCTATTTATGGCTAGCCTTCATAATTTAGAATATTTTAAATACGTTTTTTATTTTTTAAATTTATTTTATTTTTTTTAAGATTTATTTTAATTTATTTATGATAGACATAGAGAGAGGCAGAGACACAGGCAGAGATTGAAGCAGGCTCCATGCCGGGAGCCCGATGCGGGACCCGATCCCGGGACTTCAGGATCATGCCCAGGGCCAAAGACAGGCGCGAAACCGCTGAGCTACCCAGGGATCCCCTAAATACCTTTTTTAATACAGTAAATTTAATTCCCCACCTTTTTTACATATAATAAGCTGTAATTTTAAAAGGAAATGTTTTGATATTTAGTAATCCCAATGACCCTAGTAATAAATTTCTATCTTCTAGTACCTTCATTTTATTGAGAACCTATGGATCAGAGTGTATTTGGAATTATGAAAGCTGAATGTTAAAATTACTCACTAAAAGTATATAATTTGAAATTTTTAAAATAATTTCTGCACTGTATTTTATCAGTGTTATACCTCATATAACCAAGTCTGGGGCTTAGGAGTCTTAATTTCTACTAAAAAAAGGGGGGGGGGATTTACTTTGTAAAAAATGAAAGTTAACTTTAATTTTGAAAACTTGTACTGAAAGCAGGATGCTGTAATAATCATCTTTAGCTGTTAACCATTACAGATATCATGTTTTGTTTTGTTTTCTGATGTTGCTTGTATGGCTTCTCCCTCCAAAACATCCTACAATGAAACTGAGAAATTACGCAGAGATATGTTAGAGGATTACTGCTTTGGTTTACAGAAATGAAGACTAGAAGGCACCGAAGTGCTTCTTGGGGCAAAAGGCAGCTGGCAAAAGCTTAGGAACATTTTCATAATGAGTTAGTCAGAAATAGAGCTCATCAGGAATATCCAGGAAGTGATAGTGAATGCCAGGCAGGCTTTAAGAGACAGGAAGCATTTAGCATATTGGTAAACCATTTTAGCACATCAGCAAAGTCCTAGAAACAGTTTTAGGATTGGAAATTATTACCAGGGGAAAAGCAGCAATTAGAAGAACAGTTTCAACAAAAAATATAGATTTTTTTTAAATTAATTCTTGAGTTGCTCTTCTGAGCCTATGTAGCAGAATCTACAAGATAACTCATATAATGAGAAAAATTATATCTAAAAATGTTGGACATTCTTAAATAATTAATTAATTAATTTATTAATTAATTAATTTATTAATTAATTAATTTATTAATTAATTAATTTATTTATGATAGTCACAGAGAGAGAGAGAGAGGCAGAGACACAGGCAGAGGGAGAAGCAGGCTCCATGCACCGGGAGCCTGATGTGGGATTCGATCCCGGGTCTCCAGGATCGCACCCTGGGCCAAAGGCAGGCGCCAAACCGCTGCGCCACCCAGGGATCCCCAGTGTTGGGCATTCTTAAAAAAGGAAGCCATTGAAGAATGTAAAACTATACTGGTAGGATTTTTTTAAAATAGAGGTGGGAAAACAGTAACACTCATCATGATGTATGAATTAAAATATTGGCAATCTATATAGGTCAGTGGCTAAGAACCCAGACTGCTGCTTCAAATTCTGGCTTTGCCATTTTCTTAAATGTGTCACCTTGGGTAAATTATTTGACCATTGGCCTTTGTTATCTCATCTGGAGAATGAGTTTTATTAGGGTTGGTGTATGGATTGAGTTAATACATAAGCTTAGAACATGCCTGCAAAATAATGTTTTAGAAATGTTAGCTATTATTAATAAATTCCAAATTCTTCTGAAGAACTCCAAACTTGTGTAAGTGATTATCAAAACAAACTTTATGGCACAAAGTCCATAAGGATTAAAAGTATTACATAAAATACATATTCTCTTTGAGGTAGTTTTTTTGTTTTTTGTTTTTTGTTTTTTTTTTTTAAATTAGAAACTAACTTTTCCCTTGATTTTCACTTTTTAGAGTGGTGAAACCAGAACAATATCTCACTTTCATTATACTACCTGGCCAGATTTTGGAGTCCCTGAATCACCAGCTTCATTTCTCAATTTCTTATTTAAAGTGAGAGAGTCTGGTTCCTTGAATCCTGAGCATGGGCCTGCAGTGATCCACTGTAGTGCAGGCATTGGGCGGTCAGGCACCTTTTCTCTAGTAGATACCTGTCTTGTTCTGGTAAGTGCTTCTTATGATCTAATTTTAGTCTTGTTTAATTTTTTATTTTATTTTTTATCAGCAGAAGTAGCTCTAATGTCAGTATCCCAGAACTGTGATTTTTAAACTTAAACTTCTGCCTTCTTTAGAAAACCTAAACAAAATTTACTTATATACCCTTTATAACTGCCTCTTATTTGTGAAGCGGTGGGGCTCTGTCTGAGAGGATTCTTAGAGATCTCTGAGAAACCTTTTTCTCCTGGTAGCTTTATATTAAAGAATAATAGATTTCCCTTCTTCCTTGTTTTTCAAATATAAATTGATATATAATATTGAATTCCTTCCAGCTCAAACACTTTATTTCTCTTGCCCTTAGTTCCCTTATTTACAAGCTAAGGATAATGATACTATTTTCCCCATAGGGTCGTTGTGAGAATTAAGTGAATTAGTACGTTAGAACACTAAGAAGAGACCCTAATGTTTTCTAAGCACTCAAAAAATCTTAGTATTGTTATTTCCTTGAGATTCCAATCTGTGCCCCTGATGGCCGGATTCTTTCTCCACCAACCTATTCCCAGCTCCACCTTGATACAGGCCTGTGCCTTTTCTTTTAGAAGAAAAGGTCTGTTTTTCCTTACTTGGGACTTAGGGCATCTCTAGAGTATAGGAATGGTTGAGTCTGTATTCCCTTACAACTGTATTGTATTACTTTACAACTGTATTGTATGATTACATATCATACTGTATTCTTTACAGAATGTATTACTTTACAATTCTGCCTATATGTAATATGCTTAAATCAAAAACAGTATTGTTATGGGGCACCTGGATGGCTTAGTTGGTAGAATGTGCAGCTCTTGATCCTGGAGTCATGAGTTGAAGCCCCATGTCAGGCATAGAGCATATTTAATTTAAAAATAATATATATTTTTTTAAAAGATGTTTAAAAGAAAACTGGGTTGGAGCACCTGGGTGTTTCAGTCAGGTAGGTGTCTGACTCTTGGTTTTGACTCAGGTCATGATCTTGGGATCATAAGTTCAAGATCCAGGTCGGGCTCTGTGTTCAGTGGGGAGACTGCTTGAGATTCTCTCCCACTCCCTCTGCACCCCCCCTCACATTCTCTCTTAAGTAAATAAATAAAATCTTAAAACTGATAGTTACATTAAAGTGAACTTCAACACATTTAAAGAAAACTCTGTTCACTTAATGGTGAATGACTATTAAAAACTGAATTGTGTATTTGTGCCTCTTTCCTGCCAGACATAACTTCCACTTTTTTCTTTTTCAGTTGGGGTGAGGGTTATGTTAGTTATAATACCAGATTGATAGTCTAGGGCTGATGCAGTGACTTAACGGTATCATTGTGGATCTGGGATCTTACTATCTTGTCCACCATCTTTAGATGGCTGCTGGATACAGACATGAAGGCAGAAAGGGCACTGGGCAAAAAGGTTTGACTTCTGCCAAGACTTTAAAAAAAAAAAAAACAAAAAAAACACTAATCTCCATGGATTTATCTTTACATTAAGCTAGAACGGGTCATAATTACTTCCTTAAGACAAACACTGGCCAAAGTAAATAAGATTACCATGATTGGTTTGGAATCAGTTGTGTATCAGCTAAAGGCCTCCATATACTGCTCAGACAGTTGAGATGTGGGGAAGTTGGTGGATTGAGGTAACTGTTTTGTACAGAAAGAGTTACAGCTACTGTGGTAACTTCATGTTCTTGGGGAGGGGCAAACTGCACATTGCAAAATGCTTTGCAGCTAGCTGTTCTGTATTGTTTCTCTTTCTTGGACTCTACAACAAAAGGCTTGAATAATTTTTACCTTTCTTACAGATGGAAAAAGGAGATGATATTAACATTAAACAACTATTACTGAATATGAGAAAATATCGAATGGGACTTATTCAGACACCAGATCAACTCAGATTTTCATATATGACTATAATAGAAGGAGCAAAATTTATAAAGGGAGATTCAAATATACAGGTAAACTTTTTTAGGGAAATAAATAATACCTGTGTATTATATAGGATTAACATCAAATAACTGCACTCCATTTAAGCACTTGTTTTCTCCCTTTGTTCAAAAAAGCAAATTTAAATTAATGTGAAAAACCCAGCTGGCCATCTTAAAATTGCAAAGTTTAAGTTCACTTCCTCATGTGTGTTTCAGCATCATGGTAAATCTTAGATGCCTTTTACTCAAAAGCCCTAGTGGGAACAAGATTTCATTAAAGAAAGTGAAATTTTCATGTAAGGAGGGTTTAAGCATTTAATCATTAAAATAAACCAGATCATTTTGGTAATTTTGGCACATTAAAAAGGAATTCTACATAAAATTATAGAATACTCAGTTTACGTAATAGATTCTTATTAATTCTTTTAACAGTGAGCAACTCCAGTACTTACAACCAACATAATGAAATTCCAGAGAAAGAGAAAGTTCTCTGTCTGTGTTTGGTGGCGATACTCTCTTGAAGATACTTTTATTCCACATTTGCAAAAACTAAGTTCAAAGACTGATGATCAGAAATCTGTGTTATGTACTAATATAAGATACAGAATGGAAACAGAAGTAACAGACCCCCATTTCTTGTTTGATCTGGTCACATAGTATTGCTCATAGTAGATCTAATGTCTGTATTTCTCTTATGAACACATAACTGCCTCTTTAATTTCTATAATTACTAGGTGAAATAGTATTCTAAATAAGCCTTCTTTAACTCAAACCATTTTATGATAATGATAATGGAATTAAATATAAGTTAAATGTGTAGATTTCAAAGACATGAAAATAATCTTAAGCAGTTCTGTTTCTCAGATAACTTTTGTTCTGATCATTAGTATTGTAACTATTCAAGACAAACTATTATCAGTAAAGCTTTAAAGTTTTGTTAAAATCTTGCCATTTGCAACAACATGAATGGAGCTAGAAAGTATAATGCGAAGCGAAGTAAGTCAGTCTGAAAGACAAATACCATAGGATTTCACTCACATATGGAATTTAAGAAACAAAACAAATAAGCAAAGGGGAAAAAAAATAAGAGAGAGGCAAACCAAGAAATGGACTCTTAACTATAGAGAACAATGTGATGGTTACCAGAGAGGAAGTGGGTGGGGGGATGTCTTAAATAGGTGATGGGCACTTGTGATGAGCCCTGGATGATGTATGGAAGAGCTGAATTATTGTACCCCTGAAACTAACATAACACTGTATGTTGACTAGCTAGAATTGAAATTTAAAAAGTTTCATTTAAAAGGTTTTTTTTCATATCTTTAAATAGCAATAAGAATACTCTTTAATGAAGAAAAATATTTCATCAGTCCATAAAATACTCAGCATGTAGATTAGGCCCACAAAACATGAGATCCTTCTTCAGAAGTTAGACCTTGGGAACCCTGGGTTTGCTTGGCAGTGAACAATGTGATTCAGAAGTAAAAGTTATCTCAAATGTATAAGTTTAGGATAATCTCTCTCTCTCTCTCTCTCTCTCTCTCTCTCTCTAATCTCTGTGAACTTCTCTCCAGTTTAAATCAAGTTGAAAAAGAGTTAAATGGGTACACCAAACCTTTTTCACACATTTGTAGGTTCCTTGGTTGTTTGTTGCTTATTTCCTGGATGTTCTTACAGACAAATTATAGGGAAAGTATACTGTCCTTTGGATAGTATTCCTTCTGCCACTTTAAAATTTTTTCAAGTTTCCTTAGTTTCAGAATATATACTTACTCACTTTGAGGGTCTACAGAGATGAGTTTTATGGTGGTCTTTATTATTATGATGGTGTAGTTTGTGGCTTGGGAAAGTTCTTTCTGTTTCAATTTATCTGGTACAGTTATAGCCATCAGAGTCTCTGTAGCTTTATCCAGCACTCCTTGTAAACCCAAGGCATTCTCTGCCCTTTCATCAGGTAGGACGTTGGAAAGGTCTCTATTTTTCAGTACTCAGGATCAGAAAAATCTGTTACCCATTTGGAGGGGTCGATTTCCACAGAAATAGTCTTAAGCCTCCTGTAATTTATGTGGGGCTGTAATATTTTTTATTATAAGGATAATTTAATGAGTATATGTATATTAATGAGTAAATGTATATGGATTTGTTTATTTTACATAGATCTTTTTCTCTGCCTGGAACTTTGCTATCCAATACTATAGCCATTAGCCACATGTGTTATTGAGTACGTGAAATATGGCAAATCTGAATCGAGATCTGCTTAAAGTATAAAACACACCAGATTTTGAAGATTAATATAGGGAGAAGTAGTATAAAATATCTCAATTTTTAAAATATTATATGTTCAAATGAATATTTTTATATTGAATTAAATAAAACATTGTTACAATTCATCTTTAAAAAAAAACACAACTACTAGACATTTGAAAATTTTATGTGTGGCTACCATTATATTTCATTGGGCAGTACTGTTCTAGAACCTTAGCTTAGAATAAAAGTCTAAGAGAAGTAAAGTTCTCTGAAATTCTAAATCATAAGGTCTAAAGTTAATGTAGAAACCTTAAATTGCATGAATATAACTGTGACCCATAAAAATGTTTCTTTGACATGTAAAGATAAGATAGCCAATTTATAAAAAGACTCTTTCTCTCCATATGTCTACCTCTTCCTCTTTACCTCTGAATTTTGGGAAAAGTTAATATTTGTAAGAAGAAAGAAAGGAGCTTCTTTCTGGTGTGAGCCCTGTGGCCAGGAGTGTGGGAGGGTGATGTTTCCTGAACCTCTGTATCTTCAGAAAACTGTTCAACAGCACCTGAGCCATATTTCTTTGTTTCTTGTACTTTTTCCTAAAGGGAAAAACTAAAGGGGCATCTGTCTTCACCATCAGCCTTAATTTAGATTTATATTATGTGAGTGGTATTTTCATTGGATCCGGTTTTATGTTAATTTTTCTGTGAAGATTTCTGACATATGTAGACATAAAGTGATCTAGAACCTGTTGAGATAAAAGAGAGCTGTTAATATTCACATCTAAAGTGATGGTTTCTGAAATTAGTAAATACATGTGTTTAAAATCACACAGCATGTGTTTACTTTTGTAAATACCTAGATAAATAGAGGTAATTTCTTGTTGTCTCTAAAAATATATCATTTACCTTACATTTTCCTTGGCACAAGGTTGGGCATAAAAAGACCTTGTAATTACTGGTATTATCACTTATTAGCACACTCCCAGTATCCATGATGACAGACAACCTCACAGAGTAACATATCTAGATTGATAATTCAGAGTTGATGTTGTAAGACCTCTAACTGGTAATTTGAAACAACTAATAAAGTAATTACAGTGTGTTTCAAGTTTAATGACAGGACTTTAACTGCTTCTTTGAGGGACTTTCTTCAGTGAGAAATGAGTGGGGTTGCAGGTGGTATGCAGAGAGCATTGCTCATAGCAGCATGTGACATGTGGGAGTGTGGTTCAACATGAGTATAGGTTTAGGAAGATAAGAAACTCTCAGTCCAGAAAGCTGTACTCCAGGGCTCAAGATGAGAGCTTGAATGAAGTTGTAGCTGAGTGCAGTATTGATTCCTTGACTTCCCAAGTCAGCAGTGACAAGCCAAGACAGGTGACTCTGGATTGTCAGCTTGCTGCTTGTAGGTTACAGAGAAGGCAAAGTTGAGTGAGTTTGCTGGCCAGAGATGTGGCAAAATGACAGTGCTTTTTTTTTTTTTTTTTTAATTCACCACCATTAAATACCTCCTATTCTCTATCCCCATTCCCTTGTGCTGAGTCCTTTTCTTGTTGAGAGATTCTGAATTTGTTGCATATTCTGGGAAGTAGTCCAGTGAAACTTGACTTTTGTCATTGTCCTGTTTATTGACATTGTTGAGTTTTGTCCAACTCTAAGGCCAAGTTGTTATAACTAGGTCCCAGTGAAGAATCGAAATTTTAAAAAATTGAACAGCCTAAATTTTGGAGGCAGTTTTCATTTTTTTGGGGGGGGGGATCTTTATCTGGTATATGAAATTGATGAAATTTTCAGAGATACAGATAATCATGAAGAATTATAACATTAAAGTTTTGGCCCATCTGTTAATTAGCTGCGTGGCATGGGCAAGTTACTTCTATGCTGTTAACCCATCTCATCTGTAGAAAGGGGATGATAATAATAAGGGTAGTAGCACCTACCTCCTGAGATTCTTCTGAGGATTAAGAGCTGGTGCAGTTGAAGCATTAGGTCAGTGTGGGTATAGTAAATGTTTGAGAAATTTCTGCATGTGCATCTTCAATATACAAATCTAGACTGAGTAACAAAAATGTAAAACGAGAAGAAAGAAAACTGACATAATCATCTAAAGTGAAAATACCTACTCTTAGTTCCATTATAGCAGTCTCTCAGGTATTGGTAAAATATTCTTCTGGATATGGTTTGTATCCTCTTAGGTCCTTGCTCAGGAGACGTGGGTTCCATCCCATTGTTTAAATTAAGTTCAGAGCCATTCTTTTCCTTGAGGTCTACTTCCTTTCTGGCCTCATCTCTCAGAGTCAAGCTCTACACGTTCTTCATCTTCTACCAAACTGACCTACTCGCTGTCCTCCAAATGTAGCAAATTACAGAATTTTACATTCTCTTTTTGTAAATCAGCTACTATAAAAGAGATATGTTAATTATGCATCTTAATAAAATAGCTATATATGGGAAAGGTGGAGTGTGGTAAATGCCTTTTTCTTTTTAAAATTTCTTTGTTGTAGGATAATGAAATAAGATAGGAACTAACTTATCAGTGTATCAATGAAATTTTCCAAAGATTTTTTTCCCCTACAAACTAAATATACAAGTGCTGTTTTTAACAATGCCATTTTGTACCAAAGCAACTCCAGGGAAAGAGTGTTTCATTAAGTTCCAGACAAGTATAAATTGCAATGTTCCATCTGTGTTCGAAATAATTAAAGTCCTCAGGCAATAAGTTTATAGAGTCTCTTATTCATAAGATTCTAGACTCCTTGCTTCTGTGATAAGATCTTCAAAGAGGGCCATCCCTGTCCATACCAGATCATTTTGCACCAGTGTCAGAGTCCTAGATAATCAAACCATTGGCTCTCACTGCCATCTTTCCTACTCTTAACTATTGGCAGGGAGATGGGTGGTTGTATTCCCAGCCCTTGAAGGACTCGAGGAACCAGAGGTCCCCCCATGGTGAAGTTATACCTGCCATCTCCCACTCTGGCTAGCACTTTGTCACTGCCCCTCATCTTCCAGGGGCTGAGATATACTTTGCACCACTTCCACTCTTCCTAGGGATGGTGGCAGTGAGAGCAAAGGAATCTAACATTTGCTGGACATGGTGCTAGGCATGTTATGTCATTAATCACTGCAGGCTTCCAAGGTAAGTGATGACGGCCTGTTTAATAGATGAAGGAAATGGAATTTCTCTTCATCTTGGGCTGAACCCCACCTCTTGAAGTCTAGACATGCAAGCGGAGTTTTTTTCTAACCTGGTGGTGGGCTACCTGGAGCTGCTAGCATACCTGATAGGAAAAAACAAAATTAAGGTCCTCTGGCATCAGAAAGAACTGCCTGGAAATCTTACTGTTGTTTCTCTGTTCCTCACTGTTGTTCTACTGGCAGGGAATAAGGAGATGCCAGATCACATTCAAGTGCCATCTTAGTCACTGTTTCCAGTGTTAACATACCTGTGGATTAGGAATCCAGCAGAATCTGGCTCTAGCTAAAATCTCACTTATCATGAATATTTTGATGAGGTCCTAGTATAGTTTGTCTCAAATAGGTTAAAGTCTACTTACTTTCATTAAGACTATTATATTCAACTGCATATAGCCATGTACATAAATATTAAATGCTTTATTATTTTTTAATAATAAAGCTTAAAATAGATAACATCTCAATTGATACATCCTTTTTATTTAAAGAAAAGTAAAATTTTAGTGTTTGTATTGGTTTTTCACTTCTCTTCCCTACCTAGAAACGGTGGAAAGAACTTTCTAAGGAAGACATATGTCCTGCTTTTGATCATTCGCCAACCAAAATAATGACTGAAAAATACAATGGGAATAGGATAGGCCTGGAAGAAGAAAAACTGACAGGTGACAGATATACAGGACTATCCTCTAAAATACAGGATACGACGGAGGAGAACAGTGAGAGGTAAGCTTATGGTAATAACATGCTTGAAAAGATGAAACATTTTTCTTTCAATAAGGTTAGTGGATATGAACTAATCTAGGCCCTTTGTTTATTGAATTAATGTAGCTATTCATTTATTTATTACCTAAGGGTATTTAAGTAGTATATGATGACATCATCGATCTCAAAGAGCTTTCAGCCCTATTAAAGAAGCCGGTACTTACAGACAGAAACCAGTTGGAAAGTGGTTTAACTCAATTCTAATTTGAGTGCTTAAATTAATACAGTTAAATGCTAAAATGTATAATAGGATACAGAAAATAAGTGGTACAAGTATTAGTGTTCATACTGTAGTTGTAATGTAATTGATAATGTGCCTTTAATGAAATTATAAAATATTTAAATGAATATTTAAACTTCATTCCATTATTGAAAGGGGAGAAGTCTTTTAAAAAAATTACCCAAAATGCCCTTTTACACTTTTCAAGAGTTTTGAATCCATATGAATGTGTAAACGATTTAAGTTTTTGAATTAAAATGTTTACATTTCTAAGGCTCTAGTAATCTCCCACCCATTAGGAAACTGGTATCCTAAGGTGTGAGTGAATGAGTGTGTTCACTTCCCCTCTTCAGTGCCTCTTAGAGATGTTTTCTCTCTTCTTTTTGTCAAATATGCTTTTTATTGTGGCACATTTTATGTTTTAGTCCTATTTGTTACATTGCAATGCTGAGGTACCATGAAATTTGTTGAGGTCTCCTGTAGATTATAGTAGCTTCACTTATTTCCCCAATTTAAAAATTACCTGAAATCTTATGAAAGGTAACATTGCAATAAATACAGATATATGTGTTGTTAAGTATTCTACTGAAGAGTTCATTATGACTTAGCCGTATTATTCCTTATTTATGGTTCTAATGGTTTTAGACTATAAGCTAAAGCATTAAGATGCTATTCCTTCCTTCATCATAAATATAATAGTTTTAAATCAAGAAATGTTTTAAGTTACCTTATCTTTTTCAGTAATAAGATCCTCATGTTCCTAATGTTGTTTTGGCTAGTACCATGTGCAAAATTAAATGGAAAACAGGCTTGATGATTGAGTCAGTGTCCTTAGTTGTCGAGTTTTAATTTTTAAGGACACAGACCCCAACAAGGTACATCATGCATTGTTCAAGTTCCATAGTAGCTCAGGAAAACCACTCAGGAATTACAGAGTGATTGAAGAGGTGGTTTTATTAGGGGTGAGGGGGTGGTGTGTGTATATGCTGTTTGTTGCCCCCCACCCACAGGAGAGAGGAGACCACATCATGCTTGAAAGCAGAGACAGAATCCCAGAAGGAAAGTAAGGATTTTGAGTAGAGAAAGCTAGTTGAAGGAGCAAGGTTGTAGAAAAGTAAAAGCATAAAGATTGCTGTGAAAAATTGTATTGTTGAGCCTTAATAAACTTTAATACTAATCTATAGTTTTGTATTAGGGAGGCTAATAAAATCAAAATCTTACTGAAAGAATTTCAGTTTCAAGAGAGTAGAACTCAATACTTCATTTTCTTTCGTTTTCATTATTAAATATCCTTCAAGACAGTTTTTTCCTTTTTTTTTTTTTAAGGCAGTTTTTTCCTATTGAAGGTCACATTTCCACCATCTTGAAACCAATTTAATGAGTCATAAGAAAAGCATTTTTAAAATAATAGGATAAAATAAAATAGAAATTAGAGTTTAAGTTAGAGAATAAATCAGTATCATAGATAATAACTAGGTATTTTAACATTTTTATGTATACATAATATATAAATTCTACATATTAACATAAATATTGTGTATGTGTATAAATATGTCTTGGTGTACAGTTACTTTGTTGTGATGGTAGGGTATTTCTTGCTGTTAAGGTTTAGCATCAAAGCTTAAAAGCTGATGTTCTCAATTATAGTGCAACCCATAAGCCCAGATCACTGAGTGAAGAACCATTCAGATAAATGAGAAGTCAGGTTATTTGGATCCTTCTCCTATGTGTTTGCATAGTGTGAAGTATGCCTGTTGAAAGCTGTATGGGCTTTCATAGCTAACACACAGCCTGCTATGTGTGCCACAATGAAGAATTCTACATGGTCTTCTGTAGGCAAGGGTCCACAGGAGTCCTTTCCTGCCAATTTGTGGGTTTTGATTACATAACCGTGTAGGAAGACTTGGGCAGTTTATCACGTGGACATAATTTCCTGAGGCCAAACTAGGTATAAAGATTTTATTGTATCACAAATGGAGAGTGGTTTTTATTTCTCTGAAATTGCAGTCTTAAAACTAAGTGATGCCATCTCTTGGTACTTTAATTCCATTCCTGAAAACATATGTATAGTACATTTTTTGAAAACAAGAATCTCTATTCCTTTAATAATTTTAAATGGGAAAAATTGTGTTCTTAGCCCAACCAAAACCATAACCAATTTCTCTAAATATCATAAAAATCCTCTTTTAAAAATCCTCTTGGGATCCCTGGGTGGCGCAGCGGTTTGGCGCCTGCCTTTGGCCCAGGGCGTGATCCTGGAGACCCGGGATCGAATCCCACGTCGGGCTCCCGGTGCGTGGAGCCTGCTTCTCCCTCTGCCTATGTCTCTGCCTCTCTCTTTCTCTCTGTATGACTATCATAAAAAAAAAAAAATCCTCTTAAACTGCTGTTTATTTGAAGCACTAATTACATAAATCATGTGACACTCCATGAACTCCTATTGGGTTTATATGGTAAATATCAACACTGAATAAAAATTGTAATTATCCTCTGTACTGCAATGAAAAAAAATTTTTTTAAGATTTTATTTATTTATTCATGAGAGACACCCAGAGAGAGAGAGAGAGGCAGAGCCACAGGCAGAGGGAGAAGCAAGCTCCATGCACGGAGCCCAACATGGGACTCAATCCCAGGACTCCAGGATCACGCCCCAGGCCAAAGGCAGGCGCTAAACTGCTGAGCCACCCAGGGATCCCCACAATGAAAATTTTAAATGAAATCTATTCAAGAATCCACCTAAATTGGAACCTGGTTGTTTGGTGGCCTCAGGCTCCTGACAGAAACAAATACAGGGACCCATGGAAGTCTGGCCCCTTGGATGGGACTCTGTATTCTTTTTACATATTTTATATATGCTTTGCTTTCACTTAAATACAACTTAAATTTTTTTCACTGATAGATATACACGGTATTTGTACATGTGAATTTTAAATTCAGAGAGTGAATTCTGAGTAACAATTTTTGCAAGCCATCATAGCAAATATTCAAAGTTCAGACAGCCAAAGATACCTGGTTATATGATAGGTAAAATGAAGAAGACATTAGAAATCATAGGGTACACAGAGACAGGCAAAATAGAGTCCCTGAGTTGCAAACATATTTAGGGGGTAAAATAGGATCCCAAATTAGCAACATAAGTAATTTACTATAAGTTAAATGCTGTAAGATAAGAATAGAGGGGCTCTGAGGGAGAAATTCAAGAACAGAATTGAAATGAGAGGACTAGAGAGAGGAGAAGATTTCTAGTTTAGAAGGGAACAAATTTGGAGAACAGCAAAACAAAACAAAACAAAACACTTGAGCAGGAACAAAGTTGTGCAAGGCCGGTGAATACTGGCTAGTGTTTGTGTGCACAGGTGTTTTCCAGTTCTCTTGGGAATATACCTAGGAGTGCAGTTGCGGGGTCATAAGGTAACCTTAGATTTCACATTTTGAGGACCTACCCATTTTATGTAGCATCTGCATCCTTGTACATTCCCACCAGCAGTGTTTGAGGGTTCCAGTAGTCCAGAGAATTTGAACATTGATAAAATTACCTAATATATAGTCGTTATTCACATTTCTCTAGTTGTCTAAAAAATCTACCCTATAGCTTTATTAAAAAGTAACTTTGAAATATAAAGTTCACTCATTTCGCTTGATGGAATGAGCACTGGGTGTTATACTATATATTGGCAAACTGATAAAAACAAATTAAAAATAAGGTTCACTCATTCAAAGCATATACTTTAGTAGATTTAGTGTATTTACGAAGTTGTGAAGCCATCATCATAATCTAATTTCAGAATATTTTCATGATCCCAAAATTTCTTTAGCTCTTTAAAGAAATAATCCAAGATATAGTCAAGGATCATGCATTGTATTTGGTTGGTTTGATTCCTTAGTCTCTGTTAAATTGAAATTGTTTACCACTTTCTCTTTTTCCTTGCTTTGACCTTGACATTTTTGCAACTGCTATACCAGTTGCCTTTTAAAACACTCCACAAAAAAAATAAAAATAAAAATAAAAATAAATAAAACACTCCACAATCTGGATTCCTCTGATTGTTTCTCATTATTAGATTCAGGTTAAGCATTTTGGCGGGGAAAAAAGTTGGCTCTTAATGTAGTACACTGAAAAGGCATTCAAGATTTTTAATCAAGCTACAGAACCAGAGAAACCATACTGTAGAAAAAATTACTGTGGTGATAATACTTAATTCAGAGGCAAAGGTTAGGTTTTTGCTATATTATAGGCAATAAGTGAAAAGAAGAGATAGATTTTGAGGAAGTTTTTTAAAGTGAAGAAATAATAATTTACATGTTAGTCATTGGTCATTTTTTACAGTGTTCTAGGACCATGTGTCTTGGGAGCCTGAGAGCTTCCGTTGGAACAAACGTTCTGTGGATGTGAATAGGAAAATGGAAGCCAGAAATATGTGTGGACAAACAGCAATAGGCATCCCATGATAGAATCTTTACAAAGTATTAAATAGCTTTTACCAGTGACCTTTGACAAATCACGTGTAAACATTAAAGGGCCTTAGATGCCAGGGACTCTTATCCCCCACCTCTTCCAGCTGGTTAGCAAGAAAAAAAGCTGACAGCCACCAGCTCCCATTTCAACGAAGAAAGCACTATGCTTATTTTCAGGTCTTCCAAAAAGTATTTATTAGTTGAATATTGTACCAGAAATTGTTGATGAGATATCAGAGTACATCTCTAGACCACTTGGAATATTGAAACTTTCCCTCTTTTTTTATTCCAGTGTTTTAATGAGTTTAAAAATACGGGGTTTAGGGGGCAGGTATTTGGGCTTTGGTGCTCTGTATTAGAGTAATTAAATCCTGCCATGAACATCCTTTTGTTTTTATTTTTTCCTAGCGTTCTACGGAAACGTATTCGAGAGGACAGAAAAGCTAACACAGCTCAGAAGGTGCAGCAGATGAAACAGAGGCTAAATGAGACTGAACGAAAAAGGAAAAGGTGGTTATATTGGCAACCTATTCTCACTAAGATGGGGTTTGTGTCATTCATTTTGGTGGGCGCTTTTGTTGGCTGGACACTATTGTTTCAGCAGAATGTCCTATAAATAAACAATTCTGCCTAGCAAGCCACTGCACTAGTAGGTGACAGTGTTGCATTAGTCCCAAGGGTTTGTCTCTCAGCAGACTCCTTGCACCCCAGAAACAGTGCAGTAGAATAGACACCAACCAGATAAATGATATATTCAGACCCCAGCCCAACATCTCAGGGCGCTGTCCCCTAACTGTAAACGGCTATCTGAAATAAAGACTTGAATACTTATTGAAAACTGGTACATTTTGCAACTGTATTCATACATGTTAAGTGTAATATTTCCTGATCAGATTGAGAAATCCTTTATCACAAGGATTTGTTTTTGGAGGCTCTCTGGATTTTAACCTGCACTTGATACAAGCAATAAATATTGTGGTTTTATCTACATTATTACTGGAAAGAAAATGACCTTTAAATAATGCGTGTAATGTATAATGTACTGTTGACATGAGCATCAACATTTTATATTCTTAACCATTTCAGGGTAAATATATTTTATAAGTATTTAATCTTTTGTAGTTAAATGTACTTTTTAAAAGCTCAATTTGAAAAATCTGTTAACATAAAAAATAAATTGTGTGTTGATTCAATTGTACTGAATACATTTTCCTAAAGAGAAATTTGATATGAGCAGTTAAAACTAGCTCTAAGCAGTTTTTATTGTATATTTGCATTTCTTTTATGTTTTACAGTTTTCCCAATTTTAAAAAGAAAAATAAAGAAACAAAAATTTCCCTAAAAATTTCTTTGAAGGAAAACTCCTTACTGGCATAGTCAGGTAACATTTGGTTGAGACTTTGTAAAGAAAGTGGTTTCTGTAAAGCCCGTGATGAATACTGTTTAATTTTCATGAAAATGTCTATGTAATTACCCTAATTTATAATTAGGGTAAATCATGACTTAGAAAATAAAAATAAGGAGCAGCATTTTATTATACATCATTTCAGTTTACTAGACTGAAGTTTTGAAGTAAATTTTTTTTCAAGTTCTTTCTATTCAATAAATAGTATGATGATGTACAAACCTGACCTTGTCCCTTTAACTTCTTAATGGGTATTTTTAAAGCATATTGTTTGATGAACTTAACTGCTCATTTGAGTGCTAGCCTTCTTCAGATCCCAACATTCCATTCAGTGTTTAACTTAATTTAAACTTTAAATAGTTGTTATAGATTTAATTGCTAATATAATAAAATCACATTATTTCAGTGGTTTTCAAGCCATGCTCATTGGATTTCTGAGGGGTCTCCGAGAGGTGGTTGGAAGGATTCCAAGCTACCAGCCTGTACTTTCAACCAGACCATCTCTATTTTTCCTATTTTCTACATTACGTACAATCTCTGTATGAGGTGTAATTATTTTAAGGGAACAGTTATAATTTTTAAAACAGTTTGAAAACTATTTGTATAGATAGGTATTTTGAATTGATTTGAGTAGCCTTCTTGAATGTGTTGAATTATGCTGAAATCTGAAAGCAGGATGTAGGTGGTACTACATATTAAATCAGATTTACATAACTTGTGCCTGTGTCCTAATTCAGTATTACTGTGTCCTGTAACCTTTAAATGGAGAGGAGGTAAGAGGGACTTTTTTTTTTTTTTTTAAATGTCTATCTGCACTAAACCTGTGTTCAGGTACCAGGACCCGTCATTATTGGTTTAAAACCTTTCTAATTTTCCTAATTTGCCTTGGTTTATATTTGTAAAATACAGTATATTACTCTGTAAGTCAAATACGGATAAATCATACTAAATTTCCAACTGAAGATAGCCTTGCCTTAAACAAAAAGGCAGAGACTTCTTACAGGAAACAAAGGCTGTTAATGATGCACATTGCCCCTTTGCAGGGTAAGTGTGCTTCACTGGATTCAGGATTTTAGCTTTGCTGTTTGTCTTCTTTCTGTTCTCTGACTGGTGTATGTTGTCATATATCTTAACATGATACTCAGTGAAGTAAACATTTGTTGATGAACTTCTGCAAGGGTTATTCATCTTTCCTCCTTTCAAGCAGATCCTGAAGGATAGTGTGTTAAGTTTATACCAGTAATAATATTTTTGGGGTCCATGTATTAATTATTTAAAAATGTGCTGTAGTGCTTGGGGCTATCATCTTGACCCTTTATTAAGTGGGAAAGACACAGGGCTCCTGCCTTCTCAGGTAGCAGCCAGAGGACAAAGTTAGCAATCCACGATAGATTTTACATTTTACAAAATTTGTGCATCCTTAAGTCTTCCTAATATTTTCTAAATATAACAGACTTTTTTTTTCAATATAACAGACTTTTAAAGTCAGTTGTATAGTTTGATTTTAATGAGGTAGTGTTATTTTTTGAACAAGGAAGAAAATAAGGTTTTTAGAAAACCAGAGGCTTCATTATTTCTAAGAAAGGATATTTGCATTAATATATAGTACATTCGTGTTCATATGCCTCTACTGATAAACTGACAGCAGTCTGACTTAATGCCATCTTCTCTCGATATACCAGCTGGTTATGTATCTGTCTCCAGGTTTAGCTAGGTATTCTATGCTGGCCTCTTAGCAGTTTTAATCTATGCTCACATATATAGAACACGTAAAAATATAATTCTTCATTTTTCAGTTTATCCATATATAAAATAAAAATAATACCTTTTCTTGAATTCTTAGATGATTAAGAAAAATGTAGTGTCTTAAAGTGTATAAAGAACTTTAGAACAATATAAAGATCATTCCTCATGTTTAGGGAATACTTTATAATATATGCTCTGTCCTTTTCCTATTCTATCTTCAAATTAATACTGACTGTGTATTAATATTTCTACCAAAAAATGAACAAAAAGAGAAAGGAAATGAAATATTGACTTTTTTTTTAATAGCTCTGCTTAACAGGTATGTCACAAGAAGGAACTGTAACTCTTAATTTTATGTGTATTTGTGCTTGTCCCCTTCGTTTCAAATAAACTAGAATTGATGGTATGAATCAACAAATATGTATTGGTTTGAAAAGTAGTTTATGATATGTAACTTTTTATAGCAAGTTCTTCTTTGCTCTCAGTGTCAATTGAGAATGGTGGTTGTAATCATTTATTGATCATTTACTATGTGCCAGGCACTGTGCTAATAAGCACTTTAATAGATTATCCCATTTAATCCTTACAACAAGCTTTTGAGGTAGGTGTTGTTATTATTCACCCATAATCAGCCTGAGACTTGACAGTTCTATATTCTTTTATGCTGCTATTGTTGAAAAGTCTCCTATATGTAGTATATTTTAGAAGTAGGTTATTCTCAAAGACAAACTTAGCTTTTGCAAGTCATTTCCCTTTTAGAAAAATACATCTGACTAGATTCTATGTAAATAGACACAGGCCAGAACCTGATTGTATTAGAAACACTGTCATTAACCTTTGTATACTCTACTTCATCGAGTACCTACATCCCCAAAGTGCCTGCCTGGTTATTGTACAGAGTTTAAAATCTAGTCTGCCTTGATTTTTACTTTGAGACACAAAACTTACAGAGGTTTTATTTTAATGTAATCTACTATAAGCCTGGTGCCATTAGGTATATCATCCATGTCTTCTGTGTTTAGGCAGAAGTCTAGTAATCACTCCTTCTCTAAACATCGATTGATTTTTTTTGTCCAACAGTCAGTCCACATGGATTTGTTGCGGGCTTAGGGAGTAAGGAAGGAGCAAGGGTGTGAATCTCTAGTCTGCTGCACCCCAGTAGTGCGGGGAGCTGAGGTCAGACCTTGGTGCAGTGATCCTGGTCTGAAACTAAGGTGTTTCTGTGTTCTCATTTCTGTGTCAGCAGATAATGAAGTTTCTCTCACTTTAAGAAATCTTTAATTTGGCCTTATTTAGAGGATAGAGGCACAAAAGCTTACAAATAAAATTTTGAAAGTAATACTCTTCCACAGGACAAAACTAAGTTCTCCTGAGTTAATTTCCCTGGATGATTTATTCCAAAATTGACCTGTTTCTTAGGTCTTTTTCCCTAGTTCATTTGTTTGGATTTGATTTTTTCTTATACTTATTTTCAAAGCAGTATTTATAGGACAGTATCACCAACAGCTCCTATGAGAGTGAATGAGTATTTTAGAACTTGCAGCTCTCTTGTTCCATTAGATATGTTACATATAAGTGATGACATGCCTTCATGGGAAGAAACTCGGGTTGTTTAAGCTACACAAAACCTCCTCTGCCTGGGCAGGAATCCCCAGTCCAGATACTGCACACTTTAGGCTATATTTCATGTATTCACCATAATATAGCTATTCTGTTGTTCATCCAGATCTGACAATGTAAGCTTTTAATTTAGGAATTTTAAGTTACTCACTTTCTTGGGTAGTGTTTGAAAGAACAGACTCCTAGGAGAATGGTAGAGTTTGGCCATCTCATTTTTTCCTTAGCAACAGGAATTTTCTGAATATTTACCACATTCAGATTTCTCCAAGAACACCCAGTTCTGCACAGGTGCTTTTCCTCAACACTCCTCAGAGAAATGGTTATCTCCTTTGGCTACTGATTTCTGGAAACTTCTTTGGGGAGAGTGTTTTCCTCACTGTCCTTTATTCTGTCACAGAGCATTGCTAAGTGGAAGCAGTGTATCAGACAAGAAGCTTGAACTTGGTTTGAAAGGCTTTGTCTTCATCAGTAACAACCCCTGACAATGAAAAAGTTTTAAAGAGCTCTGGCCATCTCTGAAGTCTGCTGGGAGAATGAAAAGTTCAATTTTTGAACTCTTTCTATTTTGGATTTATAATGTACAGCAGAATAAAGAAATTGTAGGATATAGTGACAATATACTTATGGAGTCCAGTACTGTCTGGTTTTTCATTACATAGTGTATTTTGGGAAATTATAAGGAGAATTGCATGGGGATTTTCTTTATGGAGACCATTTTTGAAAGAACATCCATTCTTTATTGTTGCTCTAATTTGACAGATTTTATAGAGACGAAGGTGTTGGTATTTCAAATTACTACCATAAAATCATTGAAGTTATTTTGAGTTTGGTGAATTCGGGAGAGGGAAACTAGATAAGTTTGTTTTGTCTGTAAGGTAATGCTTTTGCTCACCTTACAGAAGGTTTTTGATTCTTTTCAGTAAAAAAAAAAAAAAAAAGTGTGAATATCTGGTGGCAAAGAATACTTTGGATGCAGTTTGACTTTCTATTACTTCGGATATGGAGCCAGCTTGGGAGGATCATTCTCTGTTTGTAAACCTGGCCCAGTTCCAGAATAAGGGCAGTGGGCAGTATGTGCAGGCTGCTTTCTCCAAAGAAGGAAGCAAGCATGGTTAATTATTCCACTTAATTTCTTTGAACCCAGTTTACTTTTGACTTATTGAACAAATCAGCAAAAAAATGATTCAATTGAACATATTTTTTTCCTAAAATAAAGCCCATTTGTCTTCAGTTTTGCAAATAGATACATTTTATAAAAGTTAATACTCCCAGTGATTTTACCTTATTTCTTATCCTTCAGAATAATATTTACAAAGAAAAAAGTGAATTTTAAAAAACACTTAATTTTTTTTAGTTATTACAAACAATAGTTTATCCTTCATAGGTGAATCTCTGTCACCGTGCTAGGGAAAACAACAGTGCATGTTGGACACTTGCAGTGCTGCCAGTCAGCTGACCTGCATAATCTAAATTGAATCTGCTTCATACCTCATCTAGATGCATCACCCTGTTTTAAAGTAAGAAAACCAGGTCAGAGAATAAGTAACTTGCCCATGATTGCACGGCTATTACATGAGAGCTGAAATTCACACTCCCGTCTGTAGAATTCCAGTAACTCCAAACCACATGCTGCTTCCATTATGACATGTGGGCTCTATTTTTTATGGAATATTCAAATATTTAAACAGAAAGAATTAAACTGCTACTTTAACTTATTAAAATTCAAAGTAGTGCTTTTTTTTTTTAAGTCAACCAAGTCAAACTTTACCTCCAAAAAAAAAAATTGTGAAAACAGTCTGCACTGCCACTGAACCAAAGAAATACTGAAACGTCAGAATATTCTCTAAACCAGACGATTATTTCATTCACCTTGATTGATTGAATGGAGTTACTTTGATGAGCAGGTTTTCTGAATGTGTGGGAAATAAATACGTATTTTGCAGCAGAGTCAGTAAGAGGTCCCTTTCCTTACTTCCATCCAATGTGGTGCAGGGTTCATTAGAACCATGCAGTAAGCACCTGTAGTAGGTTTCGTGACTTACAGACATCTCCTTAGAAGGTTTTCTTGATACCTTGACATTTCTGTGTCAATGTTGGACAATAAAAGAAAAGGACTGTTCAGAACACCACCAGGTGCTTGGTATTATTCTTTAGTAGGAAGAGTCAATAGTCAGGAAGAAGCCCAGTTTGCAGTATTTTGAGGGGTTTTTGACTGGGGGGTATGTGTGGGCATGGTTTATATTCCTATTTATATATGTGGAGACACAATGACAGGTATTTACATTTGGGGTTTTTTTGTTGATGTTATGGTGAGGGAAGTCAGGAGAAGAACAGAAATATCATTTACCTCAAAAGTTCAGTTATTTGCAAATATTGTGAAATACCATCAAAAACTGCACTTAAAATAGTTATTTCATCTGTTGCTTAAGTTCTCTTTCATCTTTACTTTTCAATATTAAAATACAGTAAGTCTCAATTATTTTATGTCTCTGTTTTTTTTAATACTTTAACTTAAATCATGTCACTTTGGTTCTGTATTACTATAATCATTAGTATTATCCTTCAGGACCAAAAGAAGCATGCTGCTAACAGTCTGATTTAAAGATTTAAGCCAATTTTATGTTAAGACATTACATTCATAGTATTTTTAACAGTATGATACAGTGGAGGTTCAAATTGGATTAGACTTTTGCATTGAATTCCAAAGTATTGGTAAGTCTAGCACATGCCATAAAATCTTGTGAAACTGTTGTGGCTACATTTTTTGAAAACCTTTCCATCTGTCAGTATCTCACATGGAGGTCATTTCTTAATACAGGATGACCTGAGAAATTCAGAGTTGGTAATTCTTTAAAAAGTCATGTAAGTTATGGTGCTTTAACATGAGTCTACCTCACACCACCAATTCTGTTTGAAAATTGAGTATGTAAGCAGATTTACCAGGATAACAGTGAAGCACTTAGTGTGGATGAATGTGACATGTTGGAATGTTTTTTAGTTGACTTTTTATTTCACTGTTAGTCCTTTTATGTTTGTGTGTATCTGTGTATGTCTGTGTGTTTGGTAAATATGAATTGAATAGATGACTTCTTATTTTATGTTTTAGGCCAAGATTGACAGACACCTAAATATTCATGACTTGAGAATATTCTGCAGCTATAAATTTTGAACCATTGATGTGCAAAGCAAGACCTGAAGCCCACTCCGGAAACTAAAGTGAGGCTTGATAAACCTGTAGATTGCCTCACATTTGTCTGTTTACAAAGTAAACTTTACATCCAGGGAACGAAGAGCATCACCAGCAGAAGACTTGGCAGAACCCTCTAATTTGATGTATTGTTAAGTTTTTTAATACATGTATGAAATGTAGAAAGATGTAAAAGAAATAAATTAGGAGAGACTACTTTGTATTGTACTGCCATTCCTACTGTATTTTTATACTTTTTGGCAGCATTAAATATTTTTATTAAATAGACTATGTTGGTTTGTGTGCATTATCTTAGGTCAGCTCTGCTTCAGATAATGTTTCCTTAATGGTTTACTCTCACTTTTTTATAACTTAAATTGACATTTAAATTGAAATTGGTTCAAAATGCTGGTCACTTGCTTTTTGAGATCTTTTTTAGTTACTTATCAAATAGTCTTCCTATCAAAATAGGTTAGGTGAAAGCACAAAAGAAAGTTAGAAAAAAAAGAGTATTCCTTTTGTTACTTAGAAAAGTATTTATGGATAGATATTATCCATTAATAATAATGGTATTAAATTATTTTCAAGTGAGTACAGCAGTTCAATGCGGTTTTTAAAATCACTGTGTTATTCTGTGTTGGATGTTGTGCTTTCCTCATTTTCTATTATAAAGAGACCAGAGTTCTTCCTGAGTGAAGCTTTGGCTTCTTTACCATCTAATTTCCCAACCAAGTGTTGAGTCTGGGCTAAATATCCAGTCAGTTGTCAGGTTACTGGTGATATATTCTTGTTGTCTAGACAAGACACTCAAGCCTCTGTCACATGAGCATCACCTTAACAGTCTAACAAACTCATAATTGTTTTCATTTTGCCAAATGTGAAAGTTTGATAATACCATTCATTGAATATATCTGTTTCATCTTTTAAAAATGTAATGACTCACCTTATGTTCCTTTTGCCTTGTTTTCCAGCATTTTTGGTTTATTTTAGGAGTAAGCAAACTTTCAGTCCCTGGTAAATCTTTCATAAAGAATGCATGTAAGGTCCATTATACCACAAAGTAGTACAGGAAGATAATCTTTTTGTGTCAAGAAAGTTCTTGAAGGTCATCTACACTCAACTAATTGCTTCTATTTCCCATTTCCCCTTTACCCACCTAGTGTCTGACTTTCTCCTGCATCACTGCAGAAATGACCCAGGATAGTCATCTTAGCTCGTACTACAGCCAGAGATAGTTTACTCTTCAGTTTTTACCTTACATGACTTCTTGACTTCAAAGGAGCTCTTTGAAGCTTTCTCCTTTGACTCAATAAGACTTTTCTCTGCTTTCTTTGCCTCAGTTTTTCTGACTCTTGATTTATTATGGTAAGGACACTTAACATGAGATCTACCCTCAACAAATCTTTAAGTGTGCAATATATTATTCTTGACTATAGTTACAGTGTTGTATAGCAGATTTCTAGAGCTTTTTCATCTTGCTTAGCAGAAATTTTAAGTTTGTTGAATATAATTCCCATTTCTTCCTGTCTTCCTCTCCCCAGCCATTGGCAGCCACCATTCCACTCTGATTCAATGAATTAGACTATTTTAGATATGTAAATAGAATCACCCAATATTTGGCTCTCTTTTTTTAAATTTATTTTTATTGATTTAGTATTTGGCTTTCTGTGACTAGCTTGTTTTACATTCACATAATGCTCTCAAGGTTTATCCATGTTTCTGCATATTACAGAATCTCCTTTTTTAAGGCTGAATAGCATTCCATTGTATGTATACAGTTGACCCTTAACAACACAGGGGTTAGGGACACTGACCCCCCCATGCAGTCAAAAGTTTGTGTGTAACTTTTGACTCCCCCAAAAGCCTACTGTTGACTGGAAAGCTTACCAATAACAAACAGTTGACACCTATTTTATGTGTTACATGTATTCTATACTATATTCTTAAAGTTGGCTAAAGAAAAAATGTTCAAAAAATCAAGGAAAATACATTTAAAGTACTGCACTATGTTGATACCATAAGTTTATGTTCTCTGTTTATAAAATGAATTATCTGCCAGTACCTGTATCAGTATTATACAAAATACTGGAGATGTGATACATATCACTAACACTAGACATCAAAAATGAAAAGGTAATGTGGAAAAGAAATTCAGATTTCTTTAGAATAATGATTCATGCATTGATAACAGGCAGCAATATGATGGCTTTATGGTAACCTAATGTAATCAATACAATTGCTTCACAGTGGCCTACTGTAAACAATATGGTAGCTTCCAGGTAGCCTAGCATTACATAAATTAATGAATCACAAAATTTTTATGGCATATAGTATTACAGTTATGTTCATAATACAGTATTGGAAACATTAACACTTAGTAAATCTAAGCAACATGGCTCATCTGTGTTTTCAAATTGTTGCAAATCTCAAAAAAATGTGTCTAACATAGTGAAAAAACATCTGCAAATAAGTTGCAGTTGAACACAGTTCAAACCTGTGTTGTTCAAGGACCACATTTTCTATATCCATTCATCTGTCAGTGGACTCTTAGGTTGTTTCCACATCTTAACTATAATGAACAGTACTGCAGTGAACATGGGACTGCTAATACGTCTTCAAAATCCTGATTTTTAATTCTTTTGGGTAAATACCCAACAGTAGGGTTGCTGGGTCATGTTGGTAGTTGTATTTTTAATTTTTGAGGGAACCTCCATACTTTATAGCAGCTGCACCATTTTATATTCTCACCAGCAGAGCACAAGGGTTAAAGCTTCTCCACATCTTCAACATTTGCCAGTATAAGGTGATTGTGTGTGCACACATTTCCCCAATTAGAGCGTTTTTTCATATACTTGTTGGTCATTTATATGTCTTTGGATGGCTGTGTATTCTTTGCCTTTTTAAACTGGTTTATGAGTTTTTCTGCCATTGAGTTGTAGGAGTTCCTTATATATATTTTGGAGACTAATCTTTCATTGAGTACATAGTTTGTAAATACTTTCTCCCATTTAGTAGGTTGCCTTTTCACTTTGATGGTTTCTCTTCTGTCTGTTGAATATTGGAGTTCCTAAGAACTCCATCTTTGGGCTTTTGATTTTAACACACTTGTCTTGAATGATCTCATATTTGCCCAAGTCTTTATCAAATTCCTCTGTGCTGATTAAATGCAACTTCCTCCACTCCTGCCCTAGTGTTAGGTCTGAGTTATAAACCACATACACAATTCTGTAAATGGTAATGGCATTATTTCTTATATTCCAAAATTGAGTGTTATCTCCCTCATCCTGAACTCCCCTTCCTTCTGTCTTTTCTAGTTAATTTGTTGGCACTCATCAGAAACCTGAGATACAGGACGCCTGGGTAGCTCAGCAGTTGAGCGTCTGCCTTCGGCTCAGGTCGTGATCCTGGCGTTCCGGGATCGAGTCCCACATTGGGCTCCCTGCATGGAGCCTGCTTCTCCCTCTGCCTGTGTCTCTGCCTCTCTCTGTGTGTCTCTCAGGAATAAATAAAAGCTTTAAAAAAAAAATAAAAACCTGCGATTCGTTCTAAATTCCTCTACTGGGCTCCACATCCAGTTGGTTACAAAGTTCTGCTAACCCTACTTAAAACTTTAATTACAGATGAGGAGCACAGCAGTAGACTCCTGCCTCCTGTGCTTCTTTGTACCAATCCACTCTGCACAGCCTCCTAAGTGATTTAAAATACAGATCTCCGTGTTACCCTCAAAATTAGCTAATGGCATCTTAGAAAAACTTGCCTTAATTTAAACCCCGAAGACCTTAATACATATATTAAGTGAGATTATACAGTATTTGTGTTTTTCTTCTTCCACTTAGCATAATGCCTTCAAGGTCCATCTATGCCACAAATGGTAGGAATTCCTGTTTTATTGTGGGGTTTTCGTTTTGTTTGTTGTTTTTTGTGATTGAATATTCTACCACACAAAGCACATCTCCCTTATCCATTCATCCATTAGTGAACACGTAGGTTATTTCCATGTTTTGGCTATTGTAAATAATGCTGCTATTAACATGGGAGTGCAGATACCTTTTTGAGTTCATTTTTAAAAATTTTTGGATATATTCCGAGAAATGGAATTGTTTCACGACAAGTAGTAGTAGTATTTTTTGAGAAGCCTCCATACTGTTTCCCATAGTCACTGTGCACCAATTTACACTTCAACAAACAGTGCACAGGGGTTCCCTCTTTCCATATCCATCCTTTTTTTGATGATGGCTATTTTATCAGGCATGAGGTGATATCATGGTAGTTTTAATTTGTATTTCCCTAATGACTGGTGATACTGAACATTTTTTCATGTACCTGTTGGCCATTTGTATATCTTTGGAAAAAATGTTCAGGTACTTTGCCCATTTTTTAATGGATTTTTTTTTTATTATTTGGATTCCCTAGCTATTGAGTTGTATAGTTTGGATATTAACCCTTTATCAAATAGATGGTTTGCAAATATTTTTTCCCACCTTGTTGATGATTTCTTTGTGCAGAAGCTTTTTAGTTGGATGTAGTCCCACTTGGTTATTTTTGCTTTTGTTGTGACTGCCTGTCCTTAATGGGCACCTTAAGGGGCAGCTAGACCAGACCATTTGGAATTAATGGAATAATCCTTGCTCATTAATTTGTTGAATGAATATTTATTGAACATTTATGTGCTAAGCACTAGGCCTTGTATATTCATTGAGGGGGGAGAACACGATTGTGGTCTGCTAGTCTTGCCGGGGAGAGCTAAACAATAAGCATGTAAATAAGCAAATATGCAAATAAAACTAGTGATGAAGTACTGTGATGAACAGAGGTACTTACTTAGATGTGGAGAAGTGGGCTTTCCAGATTTGGGAAGTTAGAAGCAGAGTTAATTACTCAAGGATATTGGGGCACTCTGCTGCTCTCCTTGG